AAGGGTAGGAGTGCCTTGTTACTGCTTGTCACATGTCGTCCACTGACACTGCAGTAAAGGGAAGAGGACTCATTATGTCTGGGTGATGGTAAAGCCCTGACTTCTCCCTTAGCTCCTCTGACACCATCCTGCACTCTGATATTGCTGACTGGGGTGGAGGTCCAGGCTCCCCATGAGAGATCCACCTACACTGTGGTAGGTGGGGGCTTGTTACCACTGGGTGGTGATGAAAGTCCCAGCTCTCTACTTGGCCTTCTCTGACACCACGTGGGCAGGGGTGTTAAGGAGTCATAAGGCAGCCTGCCAAGAGTGGAGGTCTAAGTTCCCCACTTGGCCTTTGCTGGCCCCGGTGAGGTTGGGCCCAGGTTTTTCTGTGATATTTGGCTGGACTAGAGCCTAAACGTTTGCCTACAAGTTTCCTGTCTTGCTACCTTCCCCCTTTCCTGGTCCCTGGCTAAAGAGAGTTGGCTTTTATTGGGGCTTTTATGTCTGTGCTCATTTGCATTTCTGGGTTACAGAATAAATGCTTCATGTAAGCCTGGGATATAAGAAACAAAAAGAAAATCCAGAAATCTCACATCTATGACTTTCCTGGGGTCCCAACTACCTAACCTGTCTGCCTTCCTCTATGCACCTTGCAGAATTTCCTTGTGATTGTTCTATAATGTCTATGGTTTTCAGCATTCTTAGTGGGAGAAACAGTGTGAAGTACACCTACTCCATTTCCTCAGAAACAGAAATCTCAATGTCCTTTGAAAGCTTCCTTTTTGCAGAAACTAGCCATACTGTGCTCTGTTGTTTGCAACAAAGAACCCCGGCTGATTCCCTTTCCTTTTGTGAAGGTCAGGGGCAGAGAAGAGCTGTCCCCTGAAGCTGAGAACACTGGTCTCATCAATAAGTTCCCAGAAGTGGTAGCCCTCTGCTTTGCCTATGAGTGACTTTCCTCTGTTTTCTCCAGATCACAACAGGTTATCTTCAGAACATGACCAAAAACATTCTCGTGACTATTTTTCCCCTTTTTCTTTTTTCAGATCTAGACTTGCAGATACTTTCTATTTTTTTAATTTCAAAAGTAATACTTGCTGGTTATAGAACATTTAGAACATATAGACAAGTGAAACAGAGAGCACCCACATCAGAATAGCTACTGCTAATCTATGATATATAAAGATTATGTCTACATATGTACTATATAAATATAATACAGATACTCCTTGAACTTGCAATGAAATTACATTCAGATAAGCTCACTGTGAGTTGAAAATATTCCAAGTCAGAAATGCGTTCAATGTGCCTAACCCGCCAAATATCATAGCTTCACCTAGCCTATCTTAAATGTGTTCAGAACACTGACATTAGCCTACAGTTGGGCAAAATAACCTAACATAAAGCCAATTTGATAATAAAGTATTGAGCATATCATGTAATTTATTGAGTACTATACTGAAAGTGAAAAAAGGATGCTCATATGGGTACTCAAAGTATGGTTTCTACTGAATGCTTATTTTTTGCACCATTGTAAAGTCAAAAAATCATAAGTCAAACCATTTTAAGTCAGGAACTGTCTATATATTATTGTATCTATGCAATAAAATATACCATATGCTGTACTTTTTGTTTAGCAACTTGCTTTTTCACTTAAACAGATATCTTAACATCTTTTCACTGCAATAAATATAGTTTTAGATAATCATTTTTAATGGTTACATAATATTCCATTGCAAGAACATAGTTATTTACATATCTGTTCTGTATTATAGAATATGGAGATTATTTCCAATTTTTTCCATTGTAAACAATTCTGCATGGAACTTCTTTGTAGATAGTCATTGTACACTTATATGATTATTTTAAGATACTCCCCTAGGAATGGAATTGCTGGGCTGTAGGGAATGCACATTTTTGAAAAGACATCTTTTGATATGTATCTTCACCTAGCTTCCCTATCGTGCTTTTAGTCCTAATCCCATTTCTTGGCTCTCATTTGGCTCCAGAGTGATCTTGTTCACAGAGCACACATGGTGCCTCCTCCAGACTCCCCTCTACTTCTTTCTGTCCACAAACACTAGTTTGCAATAGGATGACATGTGAGAAGTTAATGCACATGCTACTACACCTTCCATCTTCCACTTTATCACATCCTAAGGCCTTTCTTCATTCATGACATGGTGTAACTTCTGAACAAAGGTGGCAAGTGTTTAATTTTAGGTTCAAGTGCTGAAGGATCCAGATGTAAGACAGCAAGATTTGGGAAGTATATGTGATCAGTCAGTTTCTTCCCTTGCCACTGACCTCTCACCTTCTGGGAATAAAAGAGGTAGAGATTAAGTAAAGGGACTAGGCATGAGTGTGAGTGGCCCTACTTCGTGTCCCCCTCCAAAGAGGAAGGTATAACTTGGCAACAGGGGCATGGTAGTCCTATTTGTTTGAACAAAATGTCCAAGGATGGCCAATATCATGTAAAGCCAGTAAAAGTAAAAACCTGCTGGTGGGGTAGGGACCTCTAAGAGGACCTCTAGGAGGACCTCATGAGGGAACCCCTAGGAGTCAGCAGATCTGGGGCTGCCATATATGGTTGTATAGTGTGCACACTGCACAAATGTGCTGGCCAAGGGGTCATGGAATTGAAATCCACCTCATCTTTCATTATCAAGAGTTGAACTCTGGTAGAGAGCTGTGCCCATCTAGGTAAAGGGATGCACTTTTCTTTGTACAAAGTACAGTCTGCTTATAAACCATGTACCCACAGAGCAGCATATACCCAGAGGAGGTTTCTTTTCAAATTCTTCTGCCTAAATGGGGCACTGCTTTTATACAGGCCGCATAAAGGCAGATGATGCTCCTACATGAATATACTTTGCAAACCACAATAAGTATTTACCGGTACATAGAATTTGGCCTTCTATGTTGAGTCCCCAGTTTGCTAGTAAATTTCAAAACAAGTTCAGTACATTTCCTTGTCCTGAACTCAGAACATGACTGGTTGGGTGTGGGCAAGAGGCCAACAGCCTGTTGGAAGAGCAGTGACTGATATCGTCACTAAACTATGGAGAAACGTGCTAGGCAAGACCTTATCTTGGCAGAATCTTCTGTTGTGATATTTTGGGGATCTATAAATCTCAACACAAGGAGACCAAGCGAACCCTTCAGTGAAACATCCTTATTTTGTAATCAGAAAATGACGACACTGAGAAATGGTAGCCTATTCTCAAGGCTACAAGGTGGTGGAGCTGGAACTCAAATCTGAAGCGTCCTGGCTGTGTTCCCAGGATTCTTCAGTTGGCTGTGTGATTATGGGAACCACATTGCTAAATAAATGGTGGGGTCTTCCTCACTGATCTCTTTCCCCAAAAGGCAGATACACACTTCTTGGAAATGTTCTAGGCATGGTCGTACCTCCAGGGAGGAGTGTGCCTCACACCACATGGGAAGTCTGGGAATGTGACCTCCTGTGATGTCAATGACAATCTCTATATATCAATGGCTTCTGCAGCATAAAATGCCTCCTCACTCTTGCCCTGATGCTGACTCAGCTGTATCTACTTCCTGGGCTGCAACATGGCCACTCCAAACAACAAAAACAATAATAATAACAACACTAATGACGGTAAACACCATCATCATGTTGCTTGGTCGAGGCAGAGCACCTTTGATCTGGGGATCTCCAAGCATGTTGCCAATGTGATCCAGTGGCTAGTGTCATTATCTCCCTTTTACAGACAGAGAAAATGAGACACAAGAAGTTTAAGCCAGAAGCTCAAGGTCATGCGGGGTATTATTAGTTGGGGCATGTGAGGAGCTGAGATTATTAGCTCTGAAATAAAAGCTCAAGGCACTTAACAGGCTTTTGGTTGGCAATGGCCACTCTTTATGAAGACTGTATATTTTTATAAACTATGCCATAAAGGTAAATGCCAATCATTAGATTTTATTTCAAGCATGTCTTCTACAATCTTAAATGCAGTGAGCATGTGGCAGAACTTCCCCAGCTCTGAGTAACCAGTTCCACATATATCTCCTCTCTAACACTCAGGTAGGTCTCCAGTGGTTCAGGGAGGTGAGCCTAATCTTCTCTACCAAGACTCAAAGCAGGCATTACGTGCCAGAGGAAGCACTGGCCAGAGTCTCGGGGACCTCAGTTTGAAACACAGCTCTCCCTTTATTGGCTGTGCCACCTTAGAGAGTCACTTTTATTCTCTGGGTTCCCTCCTTCAACTGTCATGTGAAGAATCTGCATGAAATAATTTATGTTAAGCTTTTAAAATGAATTCATGGTTTTGTGAAAATTCACCCTACTACGTTTTTTTTTGTTTTCAAGCTTTTTCCCAGAGGCCTCAGAAAACCTGCCTTTTCCTAGGTTTGAGCCTTTGGAATATTCCACATCTTCTTATTTGTTGCTATATTATCATTTTTCAAAGAGTTTCAAATTTTTGAAAGCAACAAAGATTCAATCATAGTTCAGTGAAAGAAATAGACACCAATCCAGGTATTTCAAGCAGAGAGGGATTCATTTCAGGGAATTAGGAGCTTACAGAACTGTTGTTAAGGACTGGGGGAGTGGAAGTCCGGATAGGTATCATTGCACTATCTCGAAGACATGCCATTGTAGCTGTGATCTAAATGTCACGGAACTGCTGCCCCTGCTGTTTTCACTATGAGTGCCTCTGACACTCATGGCACTGGTGACTGGACACTGGAATAAGGACTCTCTAAGTACTCATGTCTCTATTATATTGTTGCTTCATACAAGGGCATTATTGGGGGAATCTAATTTGCCTCTAGAACTATGCCTTTCGGGGTATTTTAGAAATACTGATTTTTTTTTCTAGCTCCTGAGTTACAGGGAATGGGAAATTACCACTGGCAGTCCTATTTAGCACAAACACTGCAAATGTCACCTTCCCTGGTGTATTAGTCAGGGTAGGCTCTGCTATGCTGTAGTCATAAACAATCCTAAAATTTCAGTGACTTAATATGACAAATGTTGATTTCTCACTCACCAAATATCTGTTGCAGGCTGGGTGACCTTCCTCCTTGTTATAGGCATATCATCTTCTAGAACAAATGACCTTCAAGACATCAAGGCAGGAGAAGAAAGAGAGATGGAGGAGGCACATGTATCATTAACCACTTCAGCTCAGGAGTGGCACGTGTCACTCATGCCTGTAGTTTGTGGCCAAAGCTAGTCACGTAGCTCACCTAGCTATGAGGCAGGCTGGGAATATTGGGAAGCACATGGAATATTTGGTTAGCACTAGTTGTTTCTATTACTCATGGTAACAAGAGGAGATATTTCGGTTTCAAGTTGGGGTGAGCCTGGTTCTCAATCTCTTTTTCCTTCTCTGAAAGTGCCAGAAGACATAGACTTTAGGGCTTCTCCAATGCCAGTCTGAACACATTGCTTATTAGGGGTTTTGGAATCATAACCTATAGATCTGTGTGGCATCTTTGGAGAATCAGCAAAAATGTTCCTTTTCTACAAATAACTCTCTGACTGATCTAATTTGGCACCTAAAATTTCCACCATTAATATGCTTTTTTTTGAGCTACCTTAAGGATATGCATATTTCAGTAGGTTAAGCAATGAGTCATCTTGGATTATACTGGCACACTTTCAGGGAGCAGCATGTGGGATGAATGTGCTGAAGGCATGTATGGAGGGATGAGGAAGGAAAATTGGTGTTAGGGGATCCTCTGGATCAGCAAGAGGGCTCTGGGGACCAGAAGGGAGAGGACTGGATACCCCAAGGAAGAAGAGAAGGAGGCTTCATAAAGATTCTCCACATCCCATCTTTGCCAAGGCCTGGATGTGCTGGGTCCTCCAGGGCACCTACATCTTTACCCAACCTCATCCAATAAGGTCACAGATTCTCTGGACTAAGCCTGCTTTTGGAAGATAAACTCAGAAAGATACACCCAACTAAAGTGTAGCAAAGAGAAGTGAGGTTGAAATGTATTAGTTGATTAATCTCCGCTGGCTTAGAGGGAAGCAGGTCTGCCCGTGGGATTGGAAGATGGATTTTAAATCCTGACCCAGCCACTTACTCACTCACTGGAGCTCCCATGGACTTGTAAAACAGCCATGTGACCTTGGGCAAGGCGCTTATTGTTGCTGCACCTCTATTGGAAGAATTCAGTGAGGAATGCATGATAGGGCCAAAGTAGAGACTCAACGGATCCAAGCTCAGCATCCCTTCCCATATTTATTTCTGTAAAATAAGGTGAGTGAACCCGATCTTTCTCCAGAGTCCTGGATCTCCATGGTTTTCTTAAGGGACAGAGGAGATGGGGAGGAGGCTGAGTTGGGGAACAGCATCTGGACTCCCCAGTCTTGTTTAAATCAGAGAAATCCCAGGTAAGATTTAGTTTGGAAAAAAAATGTGTTTTGCTGTGAAAATGAACTCTGATATCCTCTGGAGTGGGTGATCACCAGAATTTCTTTTCACTGACATATTTCATCCCAAGAAATAGTAATGTTTATGAAAATGCCTTAAAATGATAACACACTATACAAATGTAAAGCTATATTATTGTCACTATCATTTTTCCTTGTGGTTTTAGCTTGAATTTTGGTTAGAACAGGTCATAGTATCAGTCTTCATAACTCTTCCCAGTAGCTCCACTAAATTATTGCAAAGCCCATTTAAAGTGAGATTGTTCAGAATGAGATGAGAGGCTCCTATCTTTTCTTAGGAAGGAGTGTGTTTTTGCAGTTCAACTCAATGCATTTATTGATATTACCATATCTAATATAGTGATAGGGTATTTCTGTCTATCTCTGTCTCTGTCTCTCTTAAAAACAAGATTATTGGCAGGGCATGGTGGTGTGGACCTGCAGTCCCAGCTACTCAGAAGGTTGAGGAGGCAAGACAGTGGTGGGAGCCCAGGAGTTCAAGACCAGTGTGGGCAACATAGTGAAACCCTGTCTGTAAAAATGAAAACAAAAAGATTATCAAGGCGATGTTTCAAAAGGGTTTATAAATATTTTACTGTTTGTATAAAATTTCAAACCATGCAACTAATGCTAAATATTGCTAATGGATACTTGAATATATGATAAAGTATAAAATAGATGTGGAAATGATGAACCCACGATTCAGGAAAATGCTTAAAACAATTCTACATCTGGAAACCACTTATGGCATGGAGTAGGTACTGAATAAATACTGTTAAATAAACAACTGGCACTTTTTTGGAGAAGGTGGAAGAGTAAAAGTAAGGGAGGTGTGCTGAAACTTTGATTTTAATATCTTATTTTTTAGGCTCAGTGTTACACAGGCATTTGTAATCATATATACTTTTGTACACTTGAAATACATATATTTGTGTGTGTAGGTGTGTCAGTGTCTCACTCTGTTGCCGAGGCCGGAGTGCAGTGGTATGATCTCGGCTCACTGCAACCTCTGCCTCTCGGGTTCAAGTGATTTTCGTGCCTCCGTCTCCTGAGTAGCTGAGACTACAGGCAAGCACCACCACACCAGCTAATTTTTGTATTTTCAGTAGAGACACAGTTTCGTCATGTTGCCCAGGCTGGTCTTGAATTCCTGGCCTCAAGTGATCCGCCCACCTCGGCCTCCCAAATGCTGGAATTACAGGCGTGAGCCACCGTGCCTGGTCTGAAATATTTCATAATGTAAAAAACTAAACCCAAATGCAGATGTCCACTTTCAAGGCGCTCATAGGCCAGACCTAGGATTATTGCTACTAACTGATATTTATTATCCCAGCACCAGCATGTTTGGCTGTGTGTCATGGGTAAGTTACTCACCTTCTCTGAGACAGTGTCATCATTGCAAAATAGGGATAAAAGAGTTTAGACCTTGCAGAGTCCTTCAGATTAAAGGAGATAATCAGTACGTGGCACTGAGTACTTGGAATATATTAAATCGTGTGTGCTCAGAGATATGATTGCATACAGCATCTTGGATCTGCCCAGCAACTCTATGAAGATGAGGAAACAGACTCAGGCGGGTCAGAGCCAGAACATGATGTTTCTGGAATTTGAACCCAAACGTTCCCCTTTCTCTTATCCAGGCTGAGTGCTAAAGGAGTTGTAAGAATGGAATTTGCCTGTTGCCTGCGTCTCCCTCTCTTTTTCTTCCTCTGTGTCCTCTGAATATCTAGCACCAGTGGGACTTTACAGTGTTGGCCTCAATGCTGTTGCGTGCTGTGTGCACAGTTGTCTTCAGCTCCCTGAGTTAGCACAGCGTTGCCCCAACTCTGCCCTGTGGCCAGCCCATGTGCCTTACAACTTTCTGTTGCCAGAAGAGAGCCTTGCTCATTCTCTAGACTCAACCAACAAAAGGCGCCTGCCATTTTCAGAATGCCCATGAGCAGTGAGAAGTGCAGAGCTGTGTCCTGAGCTTGGCAGCCATTTTGCCTGGTGTTAACAAAGAGTAATTAAGTGATCTCGTAAACCTCGTGGAGGTTGTGGTTCAGAGCAAGCTGGGTCAATGCCAAGGATACTTTGGCTTTGTCTGGTCCATAGCCCCACATTTCTCTTCTGATGGTTCAGTTCCAGGAATGAGAACCAATCTGAGTGCAAGAAGACTTGGGTTTGAATCTGTCTCCTCCAATCACTAGCTGTGCGCTTGGAAAAGTGACTTAACCTCCCAAGCTGCTGTTTCCTCATCTTAAATGGTGATAGTAATCTTTCCTTACCTTAAGGTTGTTAAGCAGCTTAAATAATATAATGAGTTGAAAGTTTTTTGTATGATCTGTTATTAGGAGTCCAAATAGTATCTTATAAACAAGAGGATAGAAATAAAAAAAACAGGATTCTGAAGGCTGGACTCATTGCATTCCTTGCAAACTACCCACTGAGCCCCAACTCTTCAGTTGGCTCAAAGTCACTTCTCAGAGTAAACCACATTGTCCTGAACCCTGCACTTGCCAACATCTCCTCCTCTTCCCTGATGTCAGCTCTGGGCTGGAGTTGTGGTGGGTGAGGGAAAGGCAGGATAAATCAAAAATTGATGTTTTAAGAAAACCTATGGTATTCTTGGATGCAAAGGCATGAGAATGATACATTGGACTTTGGGGCTTGGGGGAAAGGGTGCGGGGTGGCGAGGGAGAAAAGACTACACATTGGGTATAGTGTACACTGCTCGGGTGATGGGTTCACCAAAATCTCAGAAATCACCCCTAAAGAACTGATTCAGGTAACAAAACACCACCTGTTCCCCAAAAACCTATTGAAATAAAAACAGAAAATTTAAAAAATGAGAAAACCTATGGTATTCTTGGAAGAAGCGCAGTGGCGAAGTGGAGTAGACGCAGACGTGGAAGTGATGTGAACTTTGGTAAGTTGCTGAACATCTGAGGATGATTTCCCTCATCTGTCAGTCAGGGAACAAAATCCCTTACTTGTGCAATGAGTATCGTAAGGATCAATTCAGATGATGCATGTAAACATGCAATGTGGGACTGGCAAGTAGTAAGCATTCCATAAATGGCAGGTATTAATAAGTAATAATCACCAAGTTGTAGGCTGCCTTTCATGAAAACATTCCCAGCAAGCTGCTCCTTGGAGCCATCTCTGTCCAGTTCTTTCTTTCCAAGGCTTTTCTGGATATTCATTTATCCCAGATTTCTCCTGTCTCAGGAGCGAGGACCCCCAGAGTGGAGCTTGCACAAGGATAGACTTGGAGGGCTTTTTCTAAGAGCTATGACTTTGAATGGTCTCTTCATCGATGCTGACATATGAGGGCTGGTGGAAGTGGTCAAGCTTTAAAATGTCTGATGTCCGGAAACACAGAGATGTGTACACAAAACATTCATTCATTCAAGATGGAATTAGTGCCCAAGACACAGAGGCGGGGGCAAGGCTTGATTCCTGCCTTCATAGAGCTTACTGTCTTGTAGGGGAAACATGAGTAAATTCAACAGAGTAAGGGCTCTAATTGGGTAAATGGCGGCTGGGCTGCCCATGTCCTTGGGGTGGTGGGAAGGCTGCTGATCTGGTATGTCAGGAGACCTGAGTTTTGATGCAGGCTCTGTGACTTTGAGCAGGTCGTTTCCAACTTCTGAGCTTCCATTTCCCTAGCTGAAAATGGGGCGCTTGTCATACTTGATGCTGTACTCTGAGTCTTTGCAGCTCTGACATCTTTCTTTCTTTTGGTCACTCAGAGA